GCAGCAGGTGTACGGGATGCCCTGGTTTCCTTGTATTCGCGAAAGCCCTGAACAGTCTCTCTTCTGTCCACTTTCAGCACTTCGCACAAACGTAGCACCTCTACGTCCCCATACTGTACGTCTAACTCCTCTTCAGGCCAACTTCCAGGATGGATAACTTTCATGTCCTGGATTAGCTGATTGTCCCGGGCCTCCCGGCCATGTAATGGGATTTCTCTTGTGCTGACATGAGAGGAGGTTGTGGAAGTCATTCTGTGTCTCAGATTCTCTACCATACTGCGGAAAAACTGACCTGCATGAATCTGTACAAGCCTGCCATTCTCACGCAGGGCAACACCCTTGAAGGACTTCTCAGCTAGAGCTGTATGAACTGTAGTCATGTGTGGGCCAGGCATGGTGACCATGGATTCAAAAACTCGTATTTCTCGAGTTAAGAGCCTATCTGCTGTAGGCAGTGTCATCTCTCTTTTTTGGAGTTGCCGAGAGAGGTCGCTGAGCTCTGTGAGCGCATCGTACATCAGTCCCAGATTGCTGACAAACGTTGCAGATGTGAGCACATCATCCAGGCCCTTGTACTTTGCTCTGTCTCTGGAATCCCTGCTCGTGTCGTTTGCAGCATTTGTGAAGTGATCATGAAGCACTCGGTAGTTTTCCCAGACTGCTCTGACGCTCCTTTCACTTGAAGCCACCCAGCGGATGGACAAAACACGCCCTATCACCAGGAGACGCTGTCCGACTGCTTGCGCACACTGCGCTAACTGCCTCTGATTTTTGGGGGAGGCATGGAACAAGGAATAGAGTTTGTCAAAAAAGATCTGGAAATGATTGAGCCCTGAGACCTCCTTGACCACATCCCCAACTGCCAGCTCTAGACGATGATTGCAGCAGTGCCACACAAACAGGCTTGGGAATTTACTACACAACTGGGTAGCAACGCCTGTTCTCTTCCCTAGCATGACTGAAGCCCCATCACATGCAAAAGAAACGAAACACTGACCTAAAAAGTCCTCGTTAAAATCTCTTCCAAGACACTCCATTAACGCCTTTGTGATGTCATCAGCCGTTGTTCCATCCAACTCAATCAGCTCCCAAAAAAACGTTTCGGGCTCAGCATCAGCTAATGCTGAGCGGAGACACACAACAAGCACCGTTTTACCACTAATAGTGGTAGATTCATCGACCAAAACACAGAGTTTTCTTTGGTTTTCTGTAATGTCTTTTGCCATTTTTTTCTTCAGCTCATGAGCTATGTGGTCGATGATTTCGCCACAGGTTTTATTGGAGTGCAAAACCCTGCCCACGTTCAGCCCATTCAGTTTCTGTACATTCAAATCAATTGGCATGTCTGTGAATGGCCGGCTATGTTTGCCAATTTTATATGCCGTTCGAAAAACTCTGATAGTGGTGTCTAATTCAGATTTATGCATAGACTGCACTTGATGTTGAATAGTTTCACGTGAAGCAGATGTAAGGATGTCAGCAGCTTTTACATGGGCTTGTGATTCTTTATGTTCTTTGATTTTTTTTCTCAGGCTAGCTTGTTGTTTGCCCTTGTCAACACCGAAATGAGACACTGCACACTCACCCCATTCAGTTGACAGTTTCAGTCCTTGTCCAGTGTGTATTCCCAAAGATTTGACATCTCTGCATATCCGACATCCTAGATTCTTATCTTTAAGAAGGAGCCATGCATTGGTCTTGCAAAAATATTGCACCTGGTCCGTTGTCCAGCAGTCAGGTGCATCGCTTTGCCCGGTGTTGGTGGTGGCAGTTGCGCCAGCAGCAGCTAACTTTAGAGGCTCAGGAGGAGGCGGCGGAGCTAGTGCTAATGCTAATGCACTAGAACTTGGAGCAGGAGGATCAACCAAAGAAAGCTCCCCATCAGACACAATTTCCAACACAGGCACAGCGTTCTCTGTATTTGAAGTTTCTTCCGGCGACAACCGCTGTCTTTTTGCACTTTTATTAATCCACGCTAACATTTTAGAAATGCTAATTTGTGACGTGACTTGCTTTCCTTCTCTCGGGGGCATGCCTGCTCTGTTCTATCACTCTACATAGCCACCCACTGGGTGGGAGTTGCACTGCATAAACACAACACACGTGCATCTAGGTATGTAAATTGTAAAGCATTAAAACATGGTTTTACTAACAGTTTTCAGTATGTTGTTACTTCGGCATTATTATTATTATTATTTTGAAACGTGTATTACTATTAAATCACGGTCAAATAGGTTAATTTTGACATAGTCGTTTCCACCACAGTATTTACATGGAGAAGATAAGCCCCGCCCCCTCTCCAGCACGTTCTGTTTGAATGACAGGAGTAAACAGCTGACAGCCGCTGTGAAACTCCAGCGGTTAGAGCGATGAGAATGTCCGTTCGGCACCTCATGAGTCATGACTCATCTACTGAGTACCGGGCGGCTGTATATATATATATGGATGTATAATAAGAACGGCGGGAGAGTGTTGAGTACTGGCACGGTGCATGAGTACCGGAGTACCGCCAGCATGCCGGTACTGAGCAAGAAGTGCCGGTACTCCATGGGTCAGAACCAGAAGTGCCGGTACTGCGTACCGGTGAGTACCGGCCCAATTCCAGCACTGCAAATACACAATATTGGACACAGACTATAAAGGGCACACAGTTTCATTCACTAATGAAAGTCAAACACATGTTTGTTTCCACTGTTTTATGTGTGCATAGGCCTGTCGCGATAAGCAATGAATTGACTTATCGTACGATAAATAAAAATATACTCGATAAATTGCCATTTACATGAGGATGTGACTAGCAGTTTGAAAGGATGTACTTTAATTATTATTATATATTATCATTATGTCAGTGGTCTAAAATTGTCATACAACGGTGCCGACAATATTATTGCTTATTGCAATAATTTCCGGGAAAATGTATCCAACAAAATTAATTATCGTGAGAGCTATACATGAAACACACGCACACAAACAAATCTACAGACTTACTCCAAACTGCCAAATATATTAATTAACACACACTCACTCTCATACTCTGACTCTATTTTGGCCTATTCATTTCTACTGGATCTTAGATCTGCGCATGCGCAATACGGGGCGGCAGTGGCGGCCATGGAGTATTTGTGTTGGGTAATCTATGGCAGGGCCGGCTAACCCATACAGTGGTGGTGGGGCTCAAATCAGTATTTGCAATGTAATTACATACACGCTCCCCTTGACAGTGAAACGCTACGCGTGAGGTTTAGATTATTTCCCTGTCTCAATCCAAATTGAACTGTATGAAATAAAAAGGCACATTTGTCTTGTAGTAAATAAAAAGGGCGACCTGGAGCCAATTCTGCAATTTCCCCACAGGTGAAAGAGTTGACATGCTGAAAACCCAACCCCTGCAGGGGGGTCTGGGGGGATTCTCCCCCAGGAGATTTTTTAAAATACTAACATAAAATACACATTCTGGTACTCTCTTGAGAAGAAAAATACATCTATTACTACACGACATATTTAAAGAAATGAATGCCATTTTAGTTTTGTGTTACTTTGTTCTGAAAGCTGAGCCTGCTGCTCCTCACAGAGAGAAGAGGGAAGAGGCTGTGAATTACTTTACATGGTGGATAAGGGTGGATAGCCCCCATTGTTCTGTGTGTCAAAATGAAACACGCCAGATGCGTGAGAGTTGGCAACCCTGATATATATCTTAGCTCGACATGCTCGACGTTCAGTTAGCATATATGCTAACTGAACATGTTAAGAGCATTCCATGGAATATAACAAAGTGTATCTCGAGCCGGTTTCTCAAACTTACCTACTGCTCCTTTAAGTACGGAAGGATTGTTATAGTCAGAAAATATCGGCTTCCTTAAAGCTGAAGTTGAATGAAATAGCCAAGTGTCAAACGCAATCAAAAGGGAGACCGAGATAAATCTTCCTCGTTGAACTTTTTCCAATAACATGATTTATTTTATTTGCATGGTCTGAACGTGTTTTTGGCTGTTATTTTCTACAACTGTGTTCCCTGTTCTGTGGACTACAGTTGGCGGTTCATGTTCTGAATCTGAAGCAACAACGTTTTGTTCCCCCTCTTTTTTTTCTTCTTTCACTCTAATTTCTGATGTTTGACCTAGTTTTGCTCTTGCTTTCCCAGGGGTGTTGCACAGCAAATCATTGCAGGATCCTGGACAGAGAAGACTGCTCTGGATTTTGAGGTGTTTGCAATGTCACTATCATATTGTCACAATTGGCTATTATGCTCTTACTAACTTTTCTTCATACAGGGGCTTCCGAAGCAGACCCATGGTAATGACTGTGGTGTCTTCATGATAATGGTGAGTAAGGATAAGGCCGTGATATGGCACAATTGATTGCTCCTTAACACCTTTCATTTGTAAATACATGCAATAGTGATTCACCACCACTTAGATCTGAAAAACATTCTGTTTGAATCCCAATGTTCTCTTACTTTATGCACTTGCAAATAAACAGGTGTGCAATAATAAAAGGATTTAAGGAATGTTCACGTATAGGTAGGCCTCTCGTGCATCTTTCTTGTGGCGTTATCACCTCCACATTTTATTGGAGGTGTGTGACTACTTTCTCACTGAGTTATAAGCCGTCACGTGTACATTATGTCTTGCATGTGCTAATAAAATTCTCATTACAGTATGCCTGGTATTTTGCCATGGAGGCCAGCTTTGACTTCAGCATTGTAAGTATTAAGGAAAGAAGTCACATTAAAATGCTATAACAAACTTAATGAAAATTGATGCTCTTTCTTTAGCATGACATGTCTCTCCTGAGAAGTTGGTGGTGTGTTATCCTGGTGGAAAACTTTGGACTGGAAGGGTATGCTGCAGTGCTATAAAAACATTTGAATTTGTAATTGTATTATCAAGAAGATTTGGGGGGGAACACCTGGCTCTAAAATTCAACCTTCTGGTGAAGAAAATGTGTCTTAATTGCAGGTATGGAAAGAGGTTTACTCACTATAGTGAGGAAGGCAGGGTGACCCTTAGCGACAATGTCCCACCTACATTCAGGATCAGTCGTAAAAGGACGCATGCAAGCAGCACCATGGTCAGTGTATCGCTCAACGTATCTATGACCCTGTGTGCCTGTTTCAGAATGGGTTACTACTCCTAAAACAAAGAACTTATGGTACATGCAACATTTGTTTTGTGTGGTATTGTGTCATTCTGAATCGAGCCTGGATCATTTTTGGAGGAGTTAAACCGTGCATGTAAAGCACTGTCAAAATAATGGTTGACTGTCTACTAGGGGTGTAACGGTTCACAAACATTTCGGTTCGGTACGTACCTCGGTTTTTTGGTCACGGTTCGGTTCGGTACGTTTTCGGTACGTTTTCGGTACAGCAGAATTTTTTTTCACAAAACAAAACATATATATATATTTTTATTATTATTATTAAACTGTGAATAATGTATTCACTCAAATACAAAATATAATAAAATAAACATTAAGGTGCAGCATTTCGATGAACTGAAATAATCTGTATTTGAACTTTACTGTACTAGTACTCACAAAACATAAACTATTAGTTTTGGGTTTTTAATTATTATTAAACTGTGAATATTCACTCAAATAAATACAAAATATAATAAAATGAACATTAAGGTGCAGCATTTCGATGAACTGAAATCATCTGTATTTGAACTGTAGCCTACTGTACTAGCACCTAAGCAGCCAGCTTGACATTATGACTTGCTTGTCATTGTATTTTCATGTTTTTTTAAATAAAAATGAACTTGTCCACATTGCTTGCTGAAAGGGCAGATCTGCTGGCACTAACAATGTCTCCTGATGTGGAGAAAACCCTCTCGCTCGGGACAGAGGTAGCAGATACAGCCAGGTAGCGCTTTGCTAACATGGCAACATAAGGATATTTGGTGTTTGTAATAGCTTTGGCTCGGTCTGATCTTTCTGCGAGTGGTGGAGGCTTAAATGCTAGTGGGAGTTGGGTTTGCACTTCAGTCTTTTTTCTTTTGGTACCGGTGATATTCACGTTCGGGTGATGCCTTTTCAAGAGTGTGCAAGTTTGATGTATTGCCAGCCGCGTAACCAATTTTAGTTGAACAATGCCGACAAACAGCTTTGGTTCGGTCCACCTGTCTTTGTCCGTCATCCTTGTACGTAACTGCGAAACCAAAATGTTCCCAAACCGGAGACTTCAATGATGCTGGAGGATTTTCGAGCTCAACTTTATCTGCGTTCGCCATTAATTTTTGACAGTTCCTCAAATTACTGACTACATTTGAACGTATCCCTCTGACCAGCTCTCATAGTATGCCTCTCATCCAATGAAATGACTTGCTCGCTCTATGACGCGTTGAACCCAATGTGAGCAAATTACTCTGAATGCTGCGACGCAGCACCTGAGATTACTTCCAAAAAGTTATTCACGTTCTCAATTTTTTACGTTTAACGTTATATTCGTTCGGTACACTTCGGTACACACCTGTACCGAACCGAAGGGCCCGTACCGAATAATTTCGGTACGGTTACGTGTACCGTTACACCCCTACTGTCTACAGATGCCCCTGGACACTGATGAGGACCACTCCTATAACAAGAGGCCTTACAGCTTCCTTCCTAAAGAGTCGGTTAGTGAATGGACACATTCAAGTGTACAACCCCTGATGCATGTGATTTTATAATATTACATATGACTTCTTTATACCATCTTGTCTTATCAGTGAGATGGAACTTTGTTCTCATGACCTCGCCAAGAACATGAGTGAGAAAGCGCATCAAAGGCTGAAGGACTTGTGAAAGATTCCGAGGAGTTTTTAAATAGGCTTTAAACTCCTGCAGGTCAATATTTGTTTAAGTTGACCAGCTCTGATTTTCCATATGATGTTCTGTTCAATAAATGTTCATTGAGGAAAACGGTATCAGTGTCTTATTTTATATACATCACAGTGAATGCTGAACTTGGCGGACCATATAATGTAGTTGAAAGTACACAATGAAACACTGGCTTGCTTGTATCAAATCAATACAATTCCCACATGCCCTACCCCGGAACCTGCGGTCTTCAGACTCTGGCCCCCCGCACCAACCTGCGATCCTTCGGGGACAGAGCCTTCAGTATGGCAGCCCCCACTCTGGAACGCTCTCCCTGCGGAGATCTGCAACATCCCCACGCTTGACGCCTTCAAAAGGGCCCTCAAGTCCCATCTGTCTGCCAAGGCCTTTGGCCCCAAATCTATTTGTTGTTTTGTTCTTCTTTTTAAAGCGACCTTGGGTCTCTTGAAAGGCGCTATATATATATATCTTATTATTAATACATCATTGGAACGGTACCTCCAGTATGCCTACATGACAAGCATTTTTATAATATACAGTAAACATATCTTTGATTTATTGCAAAATTATAAAATGAAATTCACCCCTGCTGTCATTCTGGCTTTCACTGTTCAAATGAGATGTCAACCATCAAAATGGGATAAGGGGTTCCAAGGGGTTCTCAAACGGATAGGTTATTAATTTATTTGCCTAATAGTTGCTTAAAATGCTACAATAACATGCCATGTACGGTCTCTCAGCCACCGTAGGCGGCGTAGTAGGGGGCGTGTCGTGTAGTGTCGTCAATTCGCTTTTCTATGCCATGCCTCTCAGCCACCGTAATGTCGTGTCAGGTGGGCGTGTCGTGTACCGTCGTTATTTGCCTAATAGTTGCTTAAAATGCTACAATAACATGCCATGTCGGGTCTCTCAGCCACCGTAGGGGCGTGTCGTGTAGTGTCGTCAATTCGCTTTTCATCTGCCATGCCTCTCAGCCACCGTAGTGTCGTGTCAGGTGGGCGTGTCGTGTACCGTCGTGTACTGTCCGCGGCCGCAGCTAGACCATATTTAACTTTTGAGAGAGCGAAACGTCACAGATTACCCGGCATGCCTGAGAAGTACCCGTATGTGCACTCACATCTCAGTGCACTGAGATTTGTGACAAATTGTAAAGCACTTACGCATCACTGTACCCTGTATACCAAGGCGGTTATGCCATCACTTACTGTACGGAGGCTCAGTCACTGGTACTTTTTCATTTACAAAGCCATGTTGGATAAACTACCATCTTATATCTGCTCCCTGATCTCTCTGCGAATTGAAAGTACTTATTGCCTGAGATCGCATGCTGTGGTTTTATTAAATGTGCCAAGTGCTAGGACTGTCTTAGGGAAGAAAGCTTTTAGATGTGCAGCTCCACTAACATGGAACAGTCTGCAAAAAGAATGGAAAATTACCAAGCTAGTACCACTACATGTTTTTAAAGCTCGGTTGGATGCTACAAAATCAGATGCTGTTGGTACCTGTACTTGTGGTTAAATATGTAAATTGTAATCCCTGTACATTTTGCTGTATGATGTCCTTTTGTTGTTCTGTTGTTTATGTCTTCTTGTGGAACCTACTGCTGCAGGTCTCCCTTGAAAAAGAGATCATTGATCTCAATGGGATTTTACCTGGATAAATAAAGGTTTTGAATAGAGCATGCGCAACTTTAACCATGCCGCCCAAAAGGCTCGTTCACATTAAGCACGTGAATTTGCGTACACGTAATAGCACCGAGCGTTCATGACAGCATGGTACTGGATTTATATTAACGAGGCGGCAGTTAGCAGCTAGCGGCTAGCTAGTAAATGATGCTAACTTACACATCAATCGTTATGTACTTTTATATTACGCTGACATCAGGATCTAGTGATATCCAAGCAACATTTAGCATGATACTTGTGTGGGTTGTATATGAAACCACTTGGTAATATATACAAATGTATATGTTGAAGCCTGTTATGATCAATTGTGAGTTAAAACTTTATCTAAAAAGTAAAGCTGATGATGGATTACTGTGGTGGAGTTAAAATAACAATATCCTATTTATTTTTGAAATGTGATGGAGTAAAAGGATAGTAACTGTGATTATTCATGTTAAGTAGCCCACAAGTAACTACAACGTATAATACTTGAAGGAAAGGTGTAAAATGTTCCCATAAATACCAATATCACAGTACAACACCCCTTGTTGTTAAATACCAACCATGTGTATATATATATATATAAATTAGTGCTGTCAAAATTATCGCGTTAACGGCGGTAATTCATTTTTTGAATTAATTGCGTTAAAATATTTAACGCATTTAACGCATGTGTAGAATGGCCCGCCCCATACGTGCCACCAGTGGCAGCGCCAGGGTATGGCTGGGGTAGGCTACACCCATACCAAGAAATGGCTTAGCCCCACCATGAAAAATGATGTTAAAGTAAGCAAAATAAAGTCTGCCAACTCGCGCGGAGTAAATTGCACAGACAGCAGTTAGTAAGATTGATTTCAGTAACCACGGTTTTGAAAACTTTTGTCACGTAGTGATCGTCTTCTCAATAGAACATCTTTGATAACGGCGTGGTGTTGTTGCAGGAAGTCCCGACGGAGAATACTTTTGCTGTAGTACAGGGGTGCACATAACTGGTACGCAGGTTGTGTGCATAATCTGAAATGCGTACCGTCACTTGTGTCACAAAGCGCATTTGCGTACCAACGTACTTGTGAAGCTTTTCCAGAAGGCGGTTAGATCACCGGACGACAGAGTCGGTCTCCGTGTGCACAGACAGGCTGCTGTTAACGTCGGTCTGTAGCCTACAACGGAATTGTGCCAAAACTACGCCAACCGGCTGCGGAGGGAGACTCCCCCCCCTTCACTGGAGAACTGCGCTAAAACAGCTGATCACAAAGTTGAATTATGAAATGTAATATATGAATTCTGTTTATTTAATACTCTTATACTAATCACTTCCTGTATTCCCGTGATAAAAGGGACATGCGCAATAAAACGTGTCACTTCCGTTTGAAGCACAGCTGATGGTGTATGTGTGTATTTATTCCTCTGTCACGTTAACTATGTTCACGGTATTCCTGCCCTAAAATCATGGCATCGCTAACAGGTTATGGGCCCAGACTGCTAGGATTGAAGGCTGCCATCGTAGAGGAGCCAGGTGAAGAGGATGAGGCTGATGATCAGAAAAACGAATGCGGAATTGATCCAGGTACTGGACGATAAAAGCCTTTCACTGATCATGAGAGAAGCAGCGGACAACGGAAGAAAAGCGTTACGCTGGGAAAGGGAAACCACGGGTGATCAGCCTCTACACTGAACTAACGTCGCTGCAGAAAGCCGCTAATGAGAGCGTCACTGACTATATTATTCGTGCCGAAACGGCAATTACAGCACTGAGAAATGCTGAAGAGACTCTTAGCGACGGGCTGCTGATAGCCATGATTTTAAAGGGACTGCCAATCTGTTTTAGGCCGTTTGCCATCCACATTACACAAGGGGATGAGAAGCTAACTTTTGGTGAGTTCAAAACAAAGTTGAGGAGCTATGAAAGCACAGAAAAATACAATGCCAACTTGAGTGAGGAATCTGATAATATTATGAAAGCGAGTGGCTGGGTGAAGTGGATAGATGGCCCCAATATCACCTGCTACAACTGCGGTCAGAAAGGACACCGGGCTCGTGAGTGTCGAAGTGCGAGCAGCAAAGACCAGAGACAGTGGTGCAGTTTTTGCAAAAATTCCACACATATAGATGCAAACTGCAGACGCAAAGAGAGAGACAATGCTAAACAAGCAACTGACTTTGAGGACCACTCATTTGTTTTTAAAGTACGTGACAGTCCAGTAACCGGAGTTACACATAAAGGGCTGATGGTCGACACCGGAGCAACGTCACACATAATAACGAACATCGACAAGTTTAAAAGGTTCGATGAGACTTTTCAACCGAAAGACCACTTTGTTGAATTGGCTGACGGGACAAGAACAAGTGGTGTCGCTTTGAAGAAAGGAGAGGCGGAGGTCTGCCTGCAAGACACGGAGGGACGACGAGTGACAGCGATGCTGAAGGACGCGCTCTATATACCGTCCTATCCACAAGACATTTTCTCTGTTAAAGCAGCGACAGCCAACGGAGCATCAGTGAACTTTCGTCAGGGTTGTAACCAGCTGATTCACCAGAGAGGTAAAATATTTGACATCAAGGAATATGATAGACTTTATTTTTTAAACACTGTGGACTGTGAAGCTGAGGACGATGCATGTTATGGATGTTATGACATTCAAACATGGCATGAAATACTTGGTCACTGTAACTATGATGATGTGTCACAACTGGAAAAAGTCACTGAGGGGATGAAAATTAAGGGTGGGATTGATAAATCTAACCTTAACTGTGAAGTGTGTACTCGAGGTAAATTTGCTCAGAGTAGGAACAGACAACCAGATGCAAGAGCTAAAGCAGCGCTCAATCTTGTGCACACTGATTTAGCAGGTCCCATTGAGCCAGAGGCTAAGGAGGGATTCAGATACACATTGGCTTTTACAGATGACTTTTCAGGGGCAGTATTTGTGTATTTCCTAAAAGCTAAAAGTGATACTTTCAAAGCCACAGAAAAATTCATTGCTGATGTCGCACCTTATGGTAAAATCAAATGTATAAGGTCTGATAACGGTACAGAATTCACCGGGACAAACTTTCAATCGCTCCTTAGACAACATGCAATACGACATGAAACTTCAGCACCTTACTCACCCCATCAAAATGGGACAGCTGAGAGAAACTGGAGAACACTTTTTGAAATGGCAAGATGCATGCTTCTTGAGAGCAATTTACCAAAGAAGCTATGGACATATGCCGTCATGACTGCAGCTGTAATACGTAACAGATGTTACAACAGACGTGTAGGACAGA